TATAAATAATCTGTAGATTCTGTACTGATAATTATTTATATCCACAGGGTAACAAGAGAAGCGCTGGGTTTACAGATGAAGAGAGGAAATCATTTGCAACAAACTTCTTATCTAGGGGATTTGTAGATACCTTTAGAAGGCAGCACCCTGGTGTTATTGGATATACTTATTGGGGTTACCGGCATGGTGGGCGCAAGACTAACAGAGGTATTTCTAGCACACCTAAAATTAATTTATTATATATTATGTTGTTTGTGTAGAATCTAGTGGTGTTATGTGTATTTATTAATAAATAAAAATCTAATTTCAATTCAACTGCTTCACTTATCTTTTACATGATTGTTTTAAGAGTTTATATGGGCACAAGCACATGCAAATTTTGCTCACATGGTAGTTCTTTGACTTCTGTCTTTACCCCTTTGCATATGTTCACCAATTTGTTTGCTCCTAGCAGGAGTTTCCATTTGGCAACTTCTGTTCTGGGGATAGATTTATGCATTGTAGTGGTTGTGGTTGTGTTCTTCCTTCCTTTTGCATGCTGTAAGCCACCCAGCCAGGCTCTCACCCCTGTGGGGGATCCTTACTGTTTCTCTCAAAAACAAATTCCTGCATTCATTTCTAAGATTTTGTAATTGAAATTTGCAAGTTATGAGAATTACTTATGAGAAAGTACATAACATGACACAGGTTTTGGTGTGTATTTCTGCAATTAGTATAATGAAATACTCAAGTTCCTTAAACTTTATTCTGTTGTCTCAATGATTTGTTTCAAAATTTAAAACAGGGTGGCGTCTTGACTACTTCCTTGTCTCAGAATCCATTGCTGATAAAGTTCACGACTCATACATTCTTCCTGATGTTGCTGGTAGTGATCATTGCCCCATTGGCCTTATTGTCAAGCTTTAGTTCTGCACCGTGTTTGAGCTTGTAGCCAATGTTGCTAGCTATTGTAATTTTATGGGCAAGCCTATTTAGTATTTACTGCAAGCAGGGATTTTTGCTTTTTTGTCTGGTTTGCTTCAACTTGGAAAAATCTGCAATCCTTGTACATGCTAGATCCATGATTTTGACTAGGCTAACAGAACTTTGAACAGAGAATCGAGTCCCTGTTATTTTAATGAAAAGAACTTGTAGAAATTTGAAACACCCCTACAAAAGCAGTGGTCTACGAGCGCTAAATGTGGTCTTCCTTTAATGTCTCACTAAAAAAAATATGTCATTTAACAAATAATTCAAATTGAGGGAATATAACATTGGACAGTTTAGAGCGTCCAATTCACCTCTTGTATCCTCAATTTTGACTGATTTCGTAGTCAATCTGTATTTTAAGCGGACACTATTTACGCATAAAAAGTTAATGAAATTAATTTTAAGGATAAAACTTATATACAGGTTTATGTCTACACTATTCTAATTAGAATTGTAGTTTCATTTTGATAATCTATGTATTCTTTTAATGCCAATTTTTATTCCATGGATTACTTTTGTTGCGGTGAAATTCTGATTTTGATTGAAAAAAAAAAACCAAAAATTAACATCTATGAGTTTATATCTAAGTTTTGTCCCAGTAATTAAGCATTTTAAATTTCAAAAGTCAAGCAATGTGGGACATTTAACTTAATCCTTGAATACAACATCGCTCAGCCTTCACAAGGGAGCATATTTATGTTGACAATGTTGAGTTTCATATTTTTGGAAGCCCCTAACATTTAGTTTAACATATGTTGGAGGGAAATGCTCTAATAAAAGTCTGAGTGACATTATTCAAGATGTAGTTAATGTGTTAATCAGATGGTTAGGTAGCTCAAATTTGCCGGAAGAAATGAGGTTGCTGTCTTTCGAAAAAAAAAAGCCAGATCCAAACACAACAAAGATGTTGTTCCAGTACAAAGTTGAGGTTTCTAATTTTTATTTTTATTTTTTACTTTTTATTTTGGGGGAAGGGGTGGATTGATGCTAGATGATGACCTTGCAACGTCAAACCCCAAGAAAAATCTCAAATCTCCCAAAATCTTTAATTTTGAAAGCAGCATCAAGTAATTGAGTAATGTTTGTAATTTTAGCCAAGTCATTTCCTACCAATACTATATGATCCACATATACTAGTAATGTAGTAAAAGAATTGAGATTACGCATAAAAAATAGTAAATAATTAGTAGAGCATTGTTTGTAACCATGAGAAGTAAGGAAAGTTGATAGCCTAGCATACCACTACTTGCTAGCTTATTTTTGCTTGAGAAAGAACTGGAGTGTTTCACTTTAATTCTTACTAAAAACCTTGGTTTTTATCAACGACTGATCATTTTTGTATGGAATCCTCCTTGAACTTATTAATCTAATCCAAATTGTCATCTTTTCATCTTATTTTGTTTTGAATTTTCTTCTTCTCATTTGTTCTTCAATAGTGATCATTTGAATCCATTTCAGATGGATCCATTCTTTATGAACTGACTTAGGTTTGTATTAGTTAGTCTTAAAAACACTTTACTAAATAATTAAGATTTAAATTGCTTTTTTAGTCTCTTTATTTTTGTTGATTTAGAATTTTGATCTCTTTATTTTAAAATAGAAGTATTTTATCTTTTTTATTTTAAAAAAATGGAATTTTAGTTCTAATATATGTCATGTTACTAAATATCACTCCACTTAAAGTAATGATAGATTATTATATATCGTCAAAATTTAACGATCAATGAACATCAAATTAAAGATAAGCCTGAGGGATAATCATGCTTCCTGTAATAGTCATCTATAGTATGTCCAGTATTACCACAATGAGTGCATAGTTTCCCTCAGCTAAAACCACTTTTACCACCTCCTCTAGAGGGTCCAAATTCTTAAGGATAACCATGTTTCTTATAGCATTTATCCTCCATATGATAATCCTTTACATAATAAGTACAAGACACATTGGATTTGTTAGAGGTTGCATTATTTATAGAACTTGAATGCATATCACTGCCAATAATCTGTCTCTCTTGTTGAACAACATAAGAAACACCTTACTAATGGCAGGCATAGGGTCCATCATCAGTATGTTGGACTTCACATTGCTAAAAGGTTCATTCAAGCCTCCAAGAAACTACATCACTTGATCTTGTTTTTTCCTTTCCATAACAACTTTTAGAGCATCACATGCACATTTTTTCTTACAAGTACACTTAGGATCGAGCCTATAACTCTCAAGTTCATCCCATATCACTCTCAATTTAGTGAAATACTCAAAGACAGATTTATCACCTAGTCACATGGAAGTTGCAACTAAAAAATTCGCAACAAATCACCTTGTGAATATCTAGATTTCAAGTCTTTCCAAATATCTCTCACATCATCCATCCAAAGGACACTTTGATGAATTGATGGAGACACATAATGCACTAACCAAGAAATAACCATGTTATTACTTCGTTTCCATGTTGTATGTAACGAGTTATCATTCGTAGGTCATTGAATAGAACCATCCACGAAATTTGCCTTGTTCTTCATGGTTAACGTCATAATCATCAATGTACTCCAAGAATTGTAATTGCTCGAATCCAACATTGGTGAGACCAATAAAATAGCAAGGTTATCTCCTGGACGCAAGTAGTATGGGCTATGCACATTTAAAGATTGGTTCAATGGAGTTTGTCGATCTTCCTTCCCACTCATGGTGTAAAATAGAAGGTATACAAACCAAGAAAATAATGAAATTGGAAAGGAGAAAGATTACGAACCAAGAAAGGAACAAACCAAAATGATGAACAATTGAAGAACAACGAAACAAGAAAGGAACAACTCAAAACAAATCAAGAAAGGATAAGAGCAATGCAACAGAGCTCTGACACCATATCAAATACGGTGACAGTCATTAAAACAATGAGATTGTATTTGAGAAAGAAATCTCATAGAAGAAGAAAGGAGAAACAATATAATTTTCATTGAATGATTTTTGTGAATGAATAATAATGAAATCAATTAGAGAGATTGCCTTTTATACATACTAAAATAAAACTAACTATAATGGTTAATTAACCACACTAACTAACCAAAGTTAATCAACTAAGAAGTGTTTACAAGGAGTATTTACACGAACATGTACAAGAGTATAAATAAGTTTTAAGTAGCAACTTAAGTCCAATAGGCCCAAAAATAACAAAACTGTGAGTGACCCTACTAAGAAATTATTCTTGTCGCAAGAATCACATACATGACAGAATTGTTCTCGATCGTGACACATTCTTTCCCACTCAATATTTTTTTGTTGTCGCAAGGAGTACATGTAGTACAAATTTGTCAGAGCCATTACAGATTCAATCGACTTGATTTCTTCCTCAACTTGACTCCAATTAATGAGCCTTCCCTTCTATTTTATTGTAATCATTGCTTATCTTGTTCGATTGAGCCTTTAAGTAAAATCTTCTTGAAGTTTCTTGATCCTTGTTCTAGCCAAATATCTCCCCATTTTGAAAATCATCTATTGTTGATCTCTTATATGAGATCTGCATCACTAATTAACAGATTATTAAACCTGTAATACAAGTTCAAAAAAGTATTTTAAGAATTTCTTTACTAAAAGTATTTTATTTCTAATAGAGAAACTCTGAAACATTTCTACGTTATCCGAACAGACTCATTTTATTTTATTTTTATATTAGATTTATCTCAGGTACAACTTATTTAAATTACATCATCCCTTTTCCTTTCTAGCAAACTAATCATTTTCATGACAGCCAGAACAATTCGAACTTGTAACATCCACAATTCATCCGTTATTTAATCAGAAGTTGGTTTATGTATAACTTGAATATTGGAAATTCAACAAATCAATATTTAACCCTAGTAATATTTAATTAGCTAGAAATGTTTTAAGACAAAATTTAAGCCTAGAAATATCCTCCACCCCCCGAAAAATGCCGATATTTAAGCGTAGAATTATTTTTCACCCAAAAAACTCAACATTTAAGCCTAGAAATAGTTGGTCATTGAATGTTTTCACCCAATTAATGAATAAGATAATGTGGTAAAATGGTCAAATCTTATTGGATATTTGCATAAAAATAGTTTATATTGACAATGTATATAAATTAAATTCATACGAAAATAGAGAGAAAACATAAAGATAAATCACGTAACATTCATTAATTGTCATCTCTTTTATATGTCAATAATGAAATCAAAATTCAGAAAGCTTCATCCAACCATGGTCCTCTTCCGTCCTCTTTGCCGCACTACAAGTTGTAAAAATGTATGGAAGTAAGTACAAGGTGTTGAAGAAAATGTTACATTTATACAAGTATAAGAGGGAGGATTTAACCTTGTGCCAGCTTGTTCATTGTGGATGACCACTGCTTTGATGACTTGCGGTATGCAGCTAGTATTTGATTCATCTGTCCAGACAAAATCCAAAGTTAACATAAGTCACTCAACTGATTATCTGTTCAAAACTTCTGTTTGTCTCAGCACCATATTATAGAAAAATAAGGCTGCAGTCCCTTTCACTAGAATGATTTCTGGGCTAGTGTAAGTAAATCTCAGCCTCTTTGGCCACAAAGGAAAGCTTGACTGTTGATCAATGAGAAGTTCATTCGTGAAATGCAAAGTTTATCCTATTCAATACTTTTTATCCCTTTAGCCCCAACATGTCATATCCTATTATCCTATGGTATTACTCGCAATCATCAGGATTCAAATTTGACTTGGTGAAAAGGGATAAATTTATCCCCTAAGATTTTGCACAAATCAACTTTAGTGCACAAACTTAAAATCTTGATTGTGAACAGAAAATTAGAATAAACAACAATTAGAAAACAGGAAAATAGAAAAAAGCCTTTATTATTCTATTGGTGATTTTTTTGCCAAAAATAATCATCACAAGCATAGCAGAAGATCTCTCCATTGTCAGCTTTAATTAAAATATTAACCAGGGTTCAACTTTATAAAAATTAAGATGCAATGTCTAAGGCTTTAAACTTAGTGTACTAAGATTGATTTGGACAGAAAACTTAAGGTAACACGTACCACGACTTATGTTACATGCTATCTTTTACCACTGACTCTGTCGAGTGTGCTCCAATTCAAATTCTCATAACAGACAAGTAAAAACCCTGTTTTCATCTCCTTAATTTTCTATGGCATGATGACAGTTAGGGGAAACGAAAAGTTAGCTTACCACATTTCCACATGAAGAATGCATCGACAGAATAGCTCTTTCCAGAACATACAAATCAACAGCTTTATCTTCCGGTAGAGTTGAAGTGAAGCTCAAGCCAAAATCAATAAGAACCTACACAAAATCCACTTGACTTCTGTAACACAAATTGATAATATTTTTTCTGTTGCATGGCATGAATGGAGAATAATTTGACGTAGTAGGACCTAAGAAGACATGAATGAACTCACCAACTGATTGGTATCATTCTTGAGTAACATGTTTGATGTTGTTAAATCACCGTGAACAAGACCACCATCATGTAGCTTTGCAATTGCAACACCAATTTGGGATGCAATTTTGTCAAGACTCTCTTCATTGGCGCCACCTGACCCGAATTCAAGAAATACATCTTTGACTGAAGGGCCGTTAATATACTCAAATGTTAAAGTGTGCAACACAGCATCCACAGCATACAGCACGGGTGTACAAACCCCAAGCTTCCTTGCTTTGGTCATACATCTCGCCTCCTGCTACGAATACACGCTGGTGAAACAAGAAATGCAACTAAAAAAAATGTTAAATATTGAAAAAATACATTTTTTTTCTTCTAAATCTGACCGCATTTAAGCGCTTGAGTGTCAATTTGGAATCCAAAGTTGGATGTCTGTACTTCTTTGAGAAACGTTCCTTGACAACAGACCTCCTTCCCACAAAAGAAGACTCAAAAATCCTCTATAAAAAGGAATATGAAAAGAGGCATAAGGTTTTGCAGAACAAGATAAACCAGGATTTCAAAAATAAAGTATATGTGTGTGTGTGTGTGTGTGTCATCCAAAAAGGTGGGTAAGAACATGTAAATAAGAAAAAAAATGAAACTTTACGCAAAGGATAAGAATCAATTGCTACCCATGGTGTGGTAACACATACAACTAATAAAGTAGGTGCAGAAATAAAAGAAGAAAAAGATTGAAATTTTACGGAAATGGTAGGTGTTAATTGCTTCTACAAATCCAGGGAGTGATTACAGTTATACTTACAGCTTCAGCTCCTTGTTTGAGCAGGACGAGAGAGCTATCTTTAGAGTCAGTTTCAGTCGCCATAATGTTGAACGTTTCTGGCAGTGAAATTCCCTGTGTTAAACCCTTTTCAGCCCAGAAAGGGAAAAAAAAAAAAAAGATTTTACAATGGAAAAAAAAATGTTGATACTTGAAAGTTGAAGCGTTATTGGGTTGTGGAGTATTGAAGAGATAGAAGAAAAGTTGGAGGGTAGAAGGTGTAGAAATCTAGAAAGAAAATTGATTCACCAACTATGTTCAACCTGCTAAACAATATATAAGAAAAGCGTGCCCTTAAATAAAGAACCAGCAATGAACAATCAAAATTACATGCTGCAGAGCCATTCAAGCTTTTCATCAAACATATAGTGTGCAATCGTGGTAGAACAAAAGAAGAGGCAAAAAACTAAAAGGTTTAACCTGAAACGTTTATGGGGTTTTGGAGTACCGATGAGAAAGAAGAAAAGTCGGAAGGTGCGTATTGTATCGCGATGACTGAAAGCAAGAGAGCTTCCAAGCTGGCTCTTTGAATTAATGCCCAAAATATTGGATTTTAGTATAGTGCTTTTTCCTTTACTATACAGTTAATCCTCCGTATAAACTTAACCTTTGAGATAAAATATGTTTTTTTCTCATTTTTATCAAAATTTTGTTTTTAGTCCATCCAAAATATTTTTTACCAGTTTTGGTTCCTCATAAAATTTTCGTTTTAAAATTTATTCTTGCCATTTAACGTGTAACGCGTTTATTTTATTAATCGAGAGTACAGATGATAATAAAGCGAGATAAGTATGAGTTTCATTATTATTAACTCTATCTTTATTCTCTTCTTTTATACACATTCCCATTCCCATACTCATTGAATATGAAATTTGTATCTCTGTATCTATCGAGTATCAAGTATATTCGTACTTATTTTATATTTGCTAAAAAATTATGTTAATTAAATTTTATTTGAAATAAATTTAAAATAGAGTAAAAGTTACATCAAGTAAATTCTAAAAAGAATTAAGTTTTTAGAAGTTTAAAGCAAGTACAAGTATAGGATGGATATGTATATACTCATCTCGTCCTCGTACTCAATTCAATAAATAGGGTATTATCCATACCTATACTCGTATTCGGTTAAATTCAAACGTGGAATGGAGTTTTGTTCGTTGAAATAATTTAAAGATGCCATACTAGAGAATTTTGTTCTAAATAGGGCAAAAGTAAAATTTGTGAAAAATAGTTTATGGAATCCTTCAACCATTGATGGATGAGAACTACCAATAGAAGGCCTCCATTTTTCCAAGAATCATGATTCTTCAAGTCTTCTAGCACTTAGATAAATATGTTGGTCGCAAATGGTTGTGGAGATAAGGTGTTTGATGAAAGGCTTGAAAGGTACTCTAAGGGTTAGCTCACTTCATGATGGATGAAGGCCACTTCTAAGGTTGATCACTCAAGGTAGAGAGAAAAAAGGAAATGATCGAATAGACCAAGTGACTAAGGAGAGAGATCAAGGCACTAAGGCTCACTCAATATCAATATACTCCAAAATAAATAGCAAATGTGTAGGTGAAGCTAACAATTGGGTCTTTAGTGACACCCTATAATTGGCTCTTTTAGATCTAAGTGTCCCCTTCTTGTCTCTACCTTGTTTGAGTTGCACTAGAAGCTTCTCCACCACTATATATAGGTTGTTTCTCTTGTAAAACTCATTTTTGATCATTTGTATGAGATTGTTGAGTTGCTTGCTTAGATTTCTCTCTCTCAAAAGTCTAAATTCTCTCTTTGATTTGCTTCCAATTCTCTTATCCTCTTCTTAAGAGTGTGGTGAAAGTTGAAGTGATTTATCTTCTACCTTGAAGTGGCACTACTTGAAGAGAGTTCTTCACCTTCTAAGATGAAACTAGAGGTCTCTACCTCCGTTAGAGACCTTGAAGAAGATTGAGAAGTGCCAAGAAACCAAAGATATAAGGAGGAACTTGAAGGAGAAACCATATCAATCTAGTTGCTCCATAAGGTTTCCATCATTGGTCCTTGGAGATAGCTTGGTTTAGAACTCCCAATGTCACCCTTTGTGTGCATGGGTGTATCTTGCATGACTCAATCATCCCAACCAGGCCTTGGTAATATGTTCTCCTAGTAAGAGTGTGTTAAAAGTGTTATCCGACATGTACTCCTAGACTATTCTATGTGTGTTGCTAGCAGCAATACACTATGTGACGTGTGATGTTTTACTAGTGTCACATGCATGATAATATGTAGTCCGTGTCCATTGCATAAACATCTTAATATTATTTGTCATTTAAATATTATGTCATGAATGAGTGAAGTGTGTTATTGTCACTAATCTAACTATGCTATGTATATATGTATATCTTGTTTGTGTTTGGTTGTCCGATTGCATTCTACACTGAACTAGAGTGAGATATTTCTTATTTCCCTTGTTTTGTGTTGTTTCTTTGGTATGTTGTTGTAGGTGATTTACATCAAGATGTTAAGAATGTTGATAATGATGCCTAATCCTTATGGTTAGGTTTATGTTATGATAGAATGTGACATTAGGACTTAGCTAGAATTTACTTTTTTCTCTTGTTATGTTTTAAGACAATTGTTATTTCCTTTGTCCCACTATCAATTGGATTTTAAATTGGTTTTGTGTAAGTTAAAATGTGGTACTTTTTATAACACAACAATTTTCATTTATAATAGACTTTTTGATTTAGTTTTATTTATTTCAAGTATTATGGTCTACGGGGTAGAAGGTCTCACATTTGAGGTTTGATGATGTTAATGTTATAATGATGAATGTTATAATATGTTATGAATGAATAATGAGGATGTATAATGATGATATTTGTATAAGATGGTGTTGATGACAACTTGATTTACAAGAGTGCAAGTAGGTCTCAAATGTCATCCTAGACCTTGGGATTGTTATGGTTGGGAGTCTCTAAAGGGAATGAAAGGTAATTGTGCCTAACTATAATACTTTGACATGACCCTAATAAATGTCCCATAATTTATGGATGGATGGAGAGATTATTATATATGGGGTGGTTTTGTCCCATTGCTCCTAGGTTATCTTGAGTTGACGATGATGAAAATTAGATTGGTACCAAATGCATGCAAAATTAAGATTATGCATTTGCACGAGTCTATATGTTATAGTTGCAATTGATTGTTGTTGATGATAAATGACTGTAGTGGAATTGGTGTATTGAGTTGTGTTGCCTTAAATGTGGAGATGAATATAAATATGTATATGAGAGTTTGAATTATGATATATGTTCGTTTAACTATCATTATGTCTTATATGGACTATACATGGATGAAATGTATTCTCACTCCTTATTTGTTTGTTGTTGGTTGTATGTGTTCGGGTTGATTGTCACTTACGTTTTAGATTAGATACAAGAGGAGAAATTTATGGAGGTGATGTCTAATGCTTTAATGTAAGGTTTAAATATATTTTTAGTCCCTCAAATTTAGGATAAATTTGTTTTTAGTCCCTCAAATTAAAAATTATTATTTTTAGTCCCTGTAATTTTAAAAAATCTTATTATAGTCCTTATATTCAAATTTTGTTAAAAAATTTATTAAATATTATTGCATAAAACCTATCTATTGATGTCCTTGTTAGTGAAAACATTATAATAAATTTAATTAATATTGCATAATTGTCTTAATTTATCACTTTTCGATATGTTATTGATGATTTAAAGGACTAAAACAAGATTTTTAAGAATTACAAAAACTAAAAATAACCTTTTTAAATTTGAGGGACAAAAAATAATTTTATCTTAAATTTGAGGAACTAGAAACATATTTAAACCTAATGGTAATTATGAAATCTTACTCTATAGTGTGGCATCAAAGATAGAGGATTTTATATATTTTTTTAGTTTAATAGATTTTATGTAAATGAGTGATTTGTATCTTGTTTTGATTATTTTAAGAGTTTAATTATGTTTTAATTCAATATTTTTATTTATGAAAATTTTGTAAACCCTTTTACTAAAATGACTAAGTTTAATTTGTTTTTATTAAAATGTTTTTAATTCTTCAATACAAAAATTTCTTATTATAATTTAGGGTAGAAACAGTTACAACAGACAGATATATGAATATTACACCATCACTTTTTCTTTTTATGCTAAAATAAACACTTTTATCTCTTAACAAATACTAATACGTTATACTCTAACAGCTTATCACTTGATTTATGTATTTAATTATTATTTAAAAATTATTACGAATTTTGTTAAAAATAATTACATAATTAAATTAAATTTAATTACTTTTTTAAAAAGTATAATAGTTAAATATATTGAAATCAACTCTCTTTTTCTCACAATAAAAGTAATTAATGTTAAAAAATTTAAAATTGGTGTTCTGGTTCAAACATGATCGCTCTAACAGAGGGGAAAAAAAAAACATAAAAGGTAAAATTCCACGTTGGCCCCCTCGTGATGAATTGGCAACATCTGATTGGCGCAGTGACGAGTGTGCAACAAGACGGAAAGGAAAATAGTCAGAAAACATGGAGCGTAGCAGAGCATAACAAATCTCCCACAGCAGCCTGCGAAAGAAAACAGAACAACCTTAACAATGGGAGCGCGCAAGAGACTCTCTTCAGCAGAGCCACCCCCTTCTTCTTCTTCTTCTTCCGCTAAGGAAAAACCCATTTTCTCAGACCCTCCAATTGCGCCTCCCAAATGGGGTCTCCTTCTGAAGCTCTCTCTCTTCTCGCTCCCTTACTTGTACCTCCTCTTCTTCCACTACCCCATCCAATCTGACCTCCGGAGATCCATCCTCATCAACGCCGGAATGAGCCTCGCCGGATTGTTCCTCACCGTTAAGATGATCCCCGTTGCGTCCAGATACGTGCAGAAGCGGAACCTCTTTGGGTATGATATCAACAAGAAGGGCACCCCTCAGGGAAATGTCAAAGTGTGAGTCTTTTTCTTGATCAAATTTTCATCTTTTTTATATTTTATCAAGTGGGGTTGCTTTGGATTTTGGTTCGAGATCTGGGTTTTTGAGCATTTGGCTGGATTTGGGAGGAAGTTTTCAGTTTGAGTAGGTGTTCGTTTGCTTCTTCTTCGCTTGAGAGATTTATGTTCTACTGTGCTATTCCATGTGATCGTTAATTTCCTTTTTTATCATGTACTTGTTGTGGTGTTCATGGATTGTTCAATAGGTGGATTTTTTTTTTTTAATTTATTTTTGTGAGTTGATGTTGACTAGTACGAGGTTCTCTCTTTTTGGGCATTGAATTGTGATACTTAGTGTTCTGAAACCTTTATGATGTTGCTATGTACCAGAGAAATGCTTGCATTTGATAAAGTGGTAAACACGGATATATGAGTTGTAGCTTGCAGATTGTTTTTGCGTTCTATAGTTTTAGTTGTTGAATTGATTTTATGTTATTTATCCTCCATTCCTTTGTCAATGGAATTCTTTAAGACGAGCGCTAGCAACATAATTCCTGACACACTCTTTATTATTGTTTAGAAATTTCAAATCACAAGGGAGACTCATTAAATAAAAGGTAAGACTTAAAAAAATTGTGATCT